AGACAGGGCTGTGTCGGGAGTGGGGTTTCCAGGGCGGGCAGAAGGAGAAGTAGGACTTCTGCAGTTCATTGAAATTTTATTTTCCAAACTCAGCACCCAAGTTTTTCTTCCCCTGTTTGCAAGTGAGGACAAGGAGGTTACTGTAGATATGTGGACACAGAACCTGGCCTCTCTGAGCCCTGTTTGGTTTAGACTGTAGAGCCCTCCCTCTGGGTTCTAAGCAGGTGGATTCCATGCGAGGGAGGCATTGCAGGCTCCGTGGCTTGTGGTGACGTGCCTGCCTTTATTTTCTTTGAAATCAGTATCTTCTGTTGGAATAAGCACTCACAGTTGGCAAAGCATCTTTACGGAAATCTCAGTGGATCCTCATAGCCACCTTCTGAAGAACATGGTATAGGCCTTAGTATTAATCCCGTTTTATAGATGAATAAACTACAAATGTAATTGGTTCAAAGTCACACTGTCACCGCCCCTTGGTCCTATAAATCAGTCTGGGCTACATCCATGTTCTTGGTGGCCCAAGAAAGAACATTGCACATGCCAGCTAGCATCAGTCTTCACCATCTAATAGAGAAAGATGTGAATATTAATGGGAAATGCCAGCTGTGATGGCTTCAGGCTGTGTCTGTTGAGTGACTGTGTTGCCACAGGGATATTTAAGGGATGCCCCCCTCTTGGTCTGAGGCCCATCCAGATGCGGTGTTCTTACTGACCTTATACTTGGCGTTGGGGACCTGTATGGCTTTTGGCTTCACCTCCAGCTTTATAGCCTCTTCCCTCCTGTTCTACTAGGTCTGGACTTTCTGTCCTAGACCTTGGATTAGCCACCCTGATGGTGTAGGTTAGCCTTCTCTCAGGACCAGGCAAGGTTCAGACCAGCAGGTAGGTGGAGGAGCCAGGACTGAAACTCAGGTCTTGTGATTGCAAGACTGTTTCTCTTTTACCCTGCTTCATGCAACTGCCTGCTGACTGCCTTGTGACAGACAGCAGCTGCTCCAGCCAGAACCTTCGGGGAGCCCAGTTAAAAAAAGAGATTAAGGCACAGGACAGCAGGTTTTCCGTCCAGACCCCTACATATCGGCAGGGAGATATCAAGGGAAAGGGAGATATCAAGGACTTTGATTAGGGAGGAAATCTATCAATGATAAGAGGGTTTTGAGGGAAGTGAGCCAGTCTGAGATAATCAGTAAACAAAAGAGCTTTGTCTGGTGTTTCTCTGTTTGCTTCTGCCCCCTAGAGGAGGGAATTCACCATGACGAGTTTGGAATAAAGCAGTGGGATGGAACTGGGCTCCTCTTCCAGGTTCTCTCAGGGTACAGCCCTGTGTTTCATCCCATGCACAGAACCCGGTACTGAATCCTTGTCTACACCCTCAGAGGCCATGTCTACCGGGCAGCACTGACTCCTTTTCTGCTGCTCTGAGGGTGTTCGAGGACAAGTGAGGTATTTAATAGGTTATTGGCAACCCTCATTTCCTGATAATAGTTATCATATGATTTTAAGAATATCAGGAGCTTTTTTATATCTCTTCATTATTACATGATATATATAACTCATTTTTTTCACTCTTACCTGTGGGCCAGGCAGATGGAGAAAAGTAGCCTAACTTCAATCTTAGTTAATAGTTATTATCATTCCCTTTTGATGACTTACCTGGTGAATTATTTATCTAATAATGTGTGCAAATCACTCCAAAAAGTAGTAGCTTAAAACAATAATACTAATGTCTTTATATCTCTCACAGTTTTTGTGAGTCTGGAATTTAGGAGTGGCTTAGCCAGGCTGTTCTGGCCCTGAGTCTCCTGGGAGATTGTGGTCAGAAATAACCTGGGATCATCTGAAGGCTTGATTAAGATTGGAGGAGCTTCTCAGGTGGCTCACTCCTATGGAGGGGAAGTTGAGGCGAGACCTAAGTTCTTATCCACGTGGGCCTCTCCACTGGCACTGGGGACCTTTATGGCATTGGGGAACTATACTGAGAGTTCTCAAGACGTGGCAGCTGGCTTCCCCCACAGTGAGCTGTTCCAAAGTGATCTAACCTTGGAAGTCATGGATTATCTCTTCTGCCACGTTCCATTCATTAGAAACAAGTTACCAAGTGTGATCCACATTCAAGGGGAGGGGATTACAGCCTGTCTTTTTAAGGGAGGAGTGTCAAAGAGTCATGGACTTACTAGAAACCACCATATCTGGCAGGATGTGGGTCTCCTGAGTGGAAAGTTCTGTAAGATTTTATGTGAATGTGTCCAGGCACAGCTCATAGGCCAGGCAAATTAAATGAAGAGCACTCAAGCCAGCTCTTATTTGTCCAGTGGCTGCTTATTCCAGCTTTTTGTTTACCCAAGGCTGTGTTTCTTTTCCAGCTTTTTGTCTTTTTCCTGCCAAGAGCCCAGAAGAGAAATTATGATTGCTTACTTTCACTTTTATAGTTTATTAGTAAAGTTTGCAAAGACAAGACAGTTGAAATTATTGATTTGAAGCTGTGAGTTTCTGAAGTATTTGTGACTATCCATACTTCATAGTGTTCCCATTTAGTGTCAAGAATTGAGAATTTGTAGTAAACAGTTACGTGTACCTTCGGTTATTTATCTCCCCATGACCCCTTTGTGTGATGACTGGACTGTATGAGATGGGGCCCCTCTGTTCCTTGTTGGAAGTTATGTCCGTTCTGACTACTGTCGTGTTGTTTGGTTTGGAGTGAATGCAGCCGTAGACTTCAGGAAGACCAGACCCCAGGGGAGGAAGAGAAGTGGGTACATAGTCATGGAAACAGATCCAGAGGCATGGCTAATAGTTTGGGTGACAACCTGAATTAGGAGATTCTGGGCTTATGATAGTTTTTATGCCTCCAAAATGAACTAAGAACTGGAGGTACCCCTCAGACAAGGAACAGAAACTTAATGGTTAGCTCAAAAGGATGTGGAATTCTTGAATGAGGAAGAGAAAGATGTCTGTCTTTGCTATTAGAAGGCGAAATGATCCTGTGTTTACTTCTCCAATGAAGGCAGACTGAGCAGATGGGAAAGAAGTAGATTGCGTAGGATTTCTAGGGTTCCAAGGTCATAGAAACTTCTAGAAGATGGAAAAAAAAGATTTCTTAAAAGGGATAAGGACTAATTTTTATTGCGCACCAGGAGCTTTATTTGTATTATCTCATTTAATCCTCACAGCATTCTCATAAGGTAGATTTTATCACTTCCATTTAAAGCTAGGGAGACCCACTTCCTTAAAACCATGCAGCCCGTGGGTATGGTGAGGTCAGCATTAGAAGGCAGGCTTGTCTGACATGAAGTCTGCTTTTTCCACTGACTTGCACTGCTTCTCAAGGCAGTCAATCCAGGATTCCCGGAAACTAGAAGAAGAGTCTTAGGGATCACTGTAGAGGGGTCTTGGCCAAGGGCTCCCCCTGCTCAGTCAGAAGCTACACTGGGAAGCAGGTCATAAGGAGAACTGGAGAGTCTGGGAATGGTGCCAGCTTAGATCCAGGGACCTCAAATCAGCGCACAGCAAGTGGAGGTGAGGAAACTCATAACCTGGGCGACCTTTTCTGCCGCCTGTTGGATCTAGGTTTGGATCTGTACTGTGCAAATGCACCCATTTCTGTGAACTTGTGTTATTTCAAGAAAGAGCCCTTTTTTTTTCTTCTTTAACTTTTTTTTTTAAATTGAAGTATAGTCAGTTTACAAGAGCCTTTTGAACAATCCCCAACTTTGTTTTGGTTGAGAAGAAAGTTTTTTTTTTCTCTTTGATCATTTAGACTAGAGGTAGGCCCAGTCTGTGCCCGTGGCCAGGTGTGGTGGTGGCCTCAGGCAGGGAAAGTGTTTAGCAGGGGACAGATCATAACTGGGAGCCTGGGTCGTGAAAGTCACATAATTCATGTTTCCGGTTGATATATTCCTCCTGCCCTGTTCTCAGGTCCTTCAGCCTCAAAATATGACAGAAAAGCAGACACAGACCATGTTTAGCATTGCTACCCAGTGTCTCTTGAGCTTTTCTTACTCCTGTGTCATCATTCACATTTGTTTGTTTTTCCCAGGCATTCTTCGGGACACCTTCACTTCCCTGGGCTATGAAGTCCAGTCTTTCTTGTATCTGAGTGTGGGCGATATCATCAACGTTCTTCGCAAGGTGGCCCGGATGCCCCAACACCAAGACTATGACAGCTTTGTGTGTGTTCTGGTGAGCCGAGGGGGCTCCCAGAGCGTGTTTGGTGTGGATGAGACTCACTCAGGATTCCCTTTGGATCATATCCGAAGGCTGTTCATGGGAGATGTATGCCCCTCTCTCTTAGGGAAGCCAAAGATCTTTTTTATTCAGAACTATGTGGTGTCAGAGGGTCAGCTGGAGGACAGCAGCTTCCTGGAGGTGGATGGGCCATCAGTGAAAAACGTAGAATCGAAGGCCAGGCAGCCCGGGGCCTGCACCATTCACCGAGAAGCTGACTTCTTCTGGAGCCTGTGCAAAGCGGACGTGTCCCTGCTCAAACGGCCCTCCACCTCCTCGTCACTGTACCTGCAGTGCCTCTGTGAGAAACTGGGGAGAGAAAGGTGAGCACCTGGGTGGTGGCAGGTCCTCGCACCTGGCGGTGGCGGGTCCTTGCACCTGTTGTTTGTTCTCTGCTACTGAGATGGAGGTACCACCGTGCCACGTTTGATGCCCTTCTCTTCAGGGAGGAAGAGGGATTTTTCAGTCCCTGTTGGGGTTGCCTTAGGAGTATGATACAGACCCCGCACAGCTCATGAAGGCTTTGTGCTTCAGAAGGTCACTTATTAGTCAGCTTGTGGTTTGGATAGTTTTCTTCAAAATTAAGAAATGTTTAATTAATTTTTTTTTCTTATTACAAAAGCAGTGCATATTCCTTACTGGAAAAAAAAAACACCATGAAATACAGATGCTGAAAGCAGAAAATAATAAGTAGTTATAATCCTGCTAATTGAAACCAACCGCTGTTAACCAAATCTCGGTGTATTGCCTTCCAGATCTTTTTTGGAGGCCCATACAATCATATATAAGTGTGCTTTTTAAGCCAAGATGGAGTGACTGTCTACTATTACTTTATAACCTGCTTTTAGTTTGTGTAACAGTAGATCACATATGTTTTTACAGATCAGTAGTCACATTTCTACAGCATCACTTTAATGTCTGCAGAGTAGTTCCTAATACAGATATCGCATAATTGACTTGGCCAATCTTCAGTTGTTGGGCAGTGTTTTGCTTTCATAGAAAAGAAAGTGTTCAACATCTTTGAAACTCAGCATTTATGCTTATTCTTAATTGTCTTCTTGAAGGGAAAATTCCCAGAATTAGAATGACTGTTTCAAGGGACAAGCATTTTTAAAGCCTTTGATACATCTTATCAGATTGTCCTCTAGGACCCTTATACCAGCTTTGTATGAGAGTGTCTGCATCCCTGAATTCACACTGATACTGAGTCCCTTTTATTTCCCCAAGTCTTGACAGTTTTGTAGGTGAAAAGTGGTATCTGACTGTTCACGTCTGCAAATCTTTGTTTTTGACAAAGATTTGTTTGTTTCTGATGTTTATTGGCAAGAATACTTTTCTAAAGGAAACACTGGTGACCTGGTTTCCATTTAAGCCTCACTGTACCTCAAATGTAAGATCAGCAGTCCTTTTTCAGCCACCCCCTAATTACAATTTAGACTGTTTCTGAGCCACCTGGGAAATGCATTCTGTTGTAGCTTTGGGGACACCAGTAATAAATCTCAGGGCCTGGGACCCCCAGCCTCCTCAGTGATGGCTCAGCAGTAAGGGGAGGGCTAGAGCAGGAGCGACTCAGCCTTCCGAGGGAGAGACGCCATGGGCCAGCGGTACTATTGGCCTTTTACGTCCGTCTTGCATTTACATAGACCATCCAGGTGGCTTATTGTTTTGTTAGTGTGTACCCAGAATAAAACTCAGCTGCCCCTTGCAGAAAAGGACTGTGGTCATTGGGCCAGAGCACTGCAAACCTGTTTGGATCACTTGCTAAGAGGGTCGTAGAGTTTTTAGAAAGGAACAGTTTCAAAGCACTTTCATGTCTATTGGCTGATTTCACCCTAATGATATTCTGTCTCTTTGTTGATATTTGCATGACATTAATTTTTGCCTTTCTTGTTCCCTCCAGAAAATGCTCACTCCTGGAACTCCACATAGAACTCAACAGCAAGGTGTATGATTGGAACAGCAGAGTGTCTGCTAAGAAGAGGTACTATGTCTGGCTGCAGCACACCCTGAGAAAGAAACTCATCCTGTCTTGCACATGAGAAGCCAAAGGCCCTCCTTAGCCCTGCAGTCTCCATCACTAGCCAGGCGGTAGTTTGCAAGTAGGTGTGTGTATACACGTAGGTGAGGTGAGGTCCTGGCCGGTGCTGAAATGACCCTCTCTGAGGAATGCTGGATGGGAGAGGGTGGCTGAAGCATGGCTTCTGAAGTGAAGGTGTTGGCCTGTACTGCTGACATAGCTCTCCAGGTCAGCGTTTTTTGGGAAGGAAACAGCTTTGAAATTTTAAAAACCAGGTACTGGTTGAATTGGGCATCTCAGGATTGCATTTTGCCTTTCATGGTCACCACCAAGTAAAGCCACAGAAATAAGCACTTAGGGTAGCGGCGCCGGAGGCTGCGTTCCACAGGCGCTGAGGAGACGTGAGGAGGAGCGCGACCCCCGGCCGCGGCCGCCCCTGGTCTCT